CAAGCACAAAGGAGGGATTCTATTGTTTGTGTATGGGAGTGTCTCACTGTATAACTCTGTTTTTATTGGTTTATTCATTTTGTGTCCCTGTGCCCAACAAGGTCCACTTGGGTGTCATCCTTGTTGGGAAACTTGCAAAAAAAGTACTACTGCAACACCCTGATCTATACGTCTACATACTTCTTCGTAGAATGCAATCAGGTTAGTTTGGCAAGACCTATGTTTGATAAAACCATGCTGATTGTTGCTAATAACAAAGTTCTTCCCAATGAATTCCTGAATATCATCCCTTAATAGCCCTTCAAATATTTACCCAGTCACAGAAGTTAAGCTCACAGGTTTATAATTTCCAGGCAATGGTTTTTAACCCTTTTTAGAATGACATCTGCCTTTCTCCAATCCTCCGGTACAATACCTGAAACAAAAGAATCTTGAAAGATTAAATACAGAGGTTCACTAATTTTCCCACTTAGCTCCTTAAGTACTCGTGGGTGAATACCATCAAGCCCCGGAGCTTTATTTACATTAAAAAAAATTAACTGCTGTAGCACCTTGTCTCGAGTCATCCAATCACAAGTTATCTGCAAGTTTTTTGCAGCAATCATTTGCATATCTCTTGCCATGGGATCCTCATTAATATATACTTAAGAAAAATTGTTATTTAAAATGTCTGCCTTTTCCTGGTCTTTATTAACTAACAAACCCATCTCTGTTTCCAGTGCACCTACACTTTCATTTTTTTTGTTTTTTTTTAGAATTGATGTACTTTAAAAAATTGTGTTTTTTTTGTTTGTTTTTTGCATTCTCTTGCTTCGTTTCTCATTTTCTAGTTAAGCCACTTTAATTGCCTTTTTGCAAGCATTATTGGCTTCCTTATATCTTATATAGGATGCCTCCGATTTGTCTGATTTAAATGCTTTAAATGCCCTTTTCTTATTTATAATCTCTTGTTTTACTTCTCTACTAAGCCACATTGGTTTCCATTTGTTTCTTTTATATTTATTACCCAATAGTACATATTGAGAGATGTACCTTTCTAATATTTGTTTAATATTTATTTTAAAAATTACCATATTGTGACCACTATTTCCCAAATGCTCCCCTACTTGAATGTTGGTCAAAAGATCAACATTGTTTGTTATAAAGAGATCCAGACAAGCATCCTTTCTAGTTGGTGATTGTACCAGTTGTGACATGAAGGTGTCATTTAACACTTGATTCCCCTTGCGGACGTACTCTATCCCAAATTATGTCTAGGTAATTAAAATCTCCAATAATTAACGTGTTACCGAGATATGCAGCTTTCCCAATTTGCTCTAGCAGCTGTTCATCCTCTTTAAAATTTACATTAGGTGGTTTATAACATATCCCAACCAATACTTGATTTCCCTTCATTTGCCCCAATCAGATATCTACCCAGGATTCTGGAGCTGATGGTTGTCCATCTTCAGGCCCACGGGGTCTGCTGCATAATTTATCTGGACGACATCCTGATCTTCGGTTCGGACAGGACGGGACTGAAGGACCATACCATCCCTCTAGTAAATCTACTAGAATCTCTGGGTTTGGTAGTGAATCGGTCCAAGTCTGTGCTGGTTACCTCACAGACGGTTTAGTTCCCGAGGTTGGAGATCGATTCAACATTGTGTACCTCGGAAGTCATGTCTATTTGCAAGGAGTTTCCCAGAGTTCCCCATCACAACTACTTTCCACTCCACATGCTTTCACAGATCATGGGGCTGTTGTCTTACTCAATTCAGGGCATCTTCCAGGGTCCACTACACTACCAGACTATGCAGTGACTGTTCCTCAGGAAGAATTCCCCTTATGACCAACCGATCACAATGAGAAACAAGGAGCAGATGGAAATGCAATGGTGGCCATGCATGCCTGAAACAGCTGGTAGTGACCATTGGAGGTCTGTCCACAGGAGACGTGTGTACGGCTCATGAGCACTCTATGCAAATCAATTCCTTGAACAGTTTGGAAAAGGGAAGGTGCAACTGTTGCATTATGCTGCGGATGGACAATGCATCTGCAGTGTGTTACATAAATCCCCTTGGAGGTGCTTGTTCCCACTTTCTGTCGGATCTCACAAAGGAGATTTATATATTTGTCTGCTGGGAAAGACCAACCTTGCTGTGGATTGGTTGTCAAACCATTAAAGGGAAAGCAGTGACTGGAAGCTGAACTGCTGGGCTTATCTGCTCTGGCATTCCGGAGGGGCCTCTTCTGGTTATAACTATTTGCTACTCACAACAATCACCAAATTCTGGACATCTTTGGATCTGAAGAGCAAAGAGTTAAATGCAGTTCTTCAGACTTGGCCAGTCCACAGAGCCTACACTTTTTCCCACTTCGCGATAATCGTGAGAGTCCTTCATCACGTCCGATCTAAACAGCTGAAGCTAACCCTGGTTGCTACTCTGTAGCAGAGCCAGCCTTGGTCCCCAGATCATCTGGAATTGTCCGTTCCTTTTACTGTTGTACCAAATGTTCCTCGTGGACCAGAAGAGAAACCTTCAGTTGTTACTCCTAGAAGATCAGCTGGCGCTGGTGGCTTGGACTCTTTCTGGGGTTCCTGGTAGGTCAGTCCACACTCACAAACTGCTAGGTGCCTCCTCTAGGACTCGTAAGTCCTGGTACAAGATGGTGTCTATCTGCTTGGAATTCATGGACCCATTTACAACCCCTATTTCCTCAGTCCTGAACTTTCTCTACCTGTTCGGTGTTCATTACATTCAGCGGATAGTGTCTTATTCTGCTCTTTTGGCGAGTGCTTCACTTGCAAATATTATGTTATATCCCCGGATAGCTTGGATCTGAGCAATTCACATCAAAGGT